ACTTAGACTAAGGGTTCTGCTCACCCTGGGAAATACTTTCTGATAGTCATGGGCTGCATCTACAAGAACATGATTGTCTTTGATTCTCACAATTTATGTTGCTAGCTCCTAGATTTGAGAGTCTAAGTGATTCACATATGAAGCTTTGGGCGGTCACTGAAGTTCTGCCTGTCCACATGTGTGGTATCCCAGGTGCAGCTGCTGGAGACATGGCCTGGACTGGTGAACACTTTGGAGACCTTCTCACCCCTGTGACTTGTCTCTGGTTGCAATATCAGCAGGGTTACCGGTGGAATTGGATCCACCAGCTCCAAGGGAAATGACTAGAGTAGACTGGGCAAATCCATCATAGTGAGAGCACCAACTACAATACATCCCTCAAGAGTCAAATCACCATGTAGTTAGACATGCCCAAAACATGTTATCCCTGTAGAGGAGCTCATTGAACACTGGAGACACGGACACTAATTGCCGTACACGAAACTCTGTTTGATGATCTTAGTATGAGTCCTTACACAAAGCTCCCTGCTGAGAGGAAAGAGGGAGTTGGACTAGGTGTTATCAACTACCTCCAGGGGATGATCAGGGCACACAGAACAGGTGCAGGGAGGGAACAAGAAGGGCTTTGCTTCTCCACTCAATGGTTTTCTCTCCTCACCAACAACTTTCCTGCCTGTAGACCATATTGTTTTCTTTCTTTCTTTCGTTCTTTGTTTCTTTCTTTCTTTTCTTCTGTCTTTCTCTCTCTCTCTCTCCACTATTCCTTTCCTTCTTCATTTCAGTCCCTTTTTAATCACATAATTGTGCAATCAAGAAAAAAGAAAGGAAATCAATCTATTTACGGTTGGCATGTTCTCACTAGATTCTCCCTTAACTTGAACCAAAATGGCCATTTTATCTTCTTGACAAACAAAAAAATCTGAGGTTTCTAACAGAACGTGGGTTGACGCATTCAACTGAATTATTGTTCACTAACAAATATCATATGCTGAAGTCTGAAATCCAATATCTTGTTATTTGGGACAGAATACGTGGTGTTTTTTCTATGGATTATGTATATAAAAATATGGGTTGAACTTATGCAAGAGCAAGGATATTATCTCACGGGAATTAAAGTCAAGAAAACCCCTGTTGTGAGCTTTATATTAGGTGGAGGAAAGATGGGGAGTTTTTCCAGCATCTTCAGTGTTCTCACCCGAGTCACACAAATACATAAGAAGAAAACCAGGATGTAGGATTTGAGATCAGAATAAAACACATGAGAAAGAAAAAATAACCCAGATAAAATTGTCATATAACAGTTATCAGAGTAGAGCTAATTCAGTTATTATGGGTACCTGTTTGAGACCTTTTGGCATTTTTTTCATAAGAAAAGTCTCATAGTCAGATCTAGCTGAGATGAGGAAGCCTGGGGCCTCAGCAAATGTTTTAGGGAAGAATTCTGGATACACCTTCACCAAATACTTTATGCATTGGGGGGGTCAGGCACTTGGATAAAACCTTGAGTTGATGGGAAGACTCTACCGTAACAGAGGTAGTACAAACTATGCACAGAAGATCCAGTGAAGAATCACCATGACCAGGTCCATGAAAACAGCCTACATGGAGCTGAGCAGTCTGACCTGAGGAAATTGACATTCATTAGTGTGCGAGAAACACAATGTGAAGACCCACATCTAAAAAGTGTAAGAAACCTTGAGGGAGAAGACATTCGTGCTGGGCTGAGGGCGTGAAAGGGAATATGACTTAACAGGTTGTGTAGGAAATGGTATTTCATAACTGTGAAGAAAGAACAATAGAAACATATATAGACTCAAATTATATAAGAAACATTCCATTCAAAAGTTGACATATAAGCTAATTCACTGATTGCGGAAAAGCAAACACAACTATACAAACATTCCTATAATCACATGATAAAGAAAACTATAAAGAAAACAACACATCTCAGAAATCATCCAAGGGTGCAGACTTGGTGGTGCTGTGCTGGGCCCTGCTCAGTGAGCCCGTGCACTCCTGGACCAAGAAAATTAAAATTATGGAATTCTGGTAAGATGGCGATGGCACAGGTGGAACTCTGAGAATCTCCAAAAGTGATTTTCCATAAAGACTCTTGCTTCCCTCTCACCAACCCCTGCCCACCCCCAGCAGTACTGGAGACCTTAATTCCCACGAACAGCCCGACTTCTGCTGCCCCACCACCACCACTGATTCACCACAGGCCACACCAAGGCCCCGTCTGTGTAGAGCTCCCTCCCCGACTACACTGTCTCACTCTGCCTCAAGCCACCGCTGCCTGTGGAGGACTTCAGATAAGGCCTTGTGGAGATCTGGGTTCCCTTGATGACAACACGGCTCCGCCCAGCACCAGCCACTGCTGGCTACCTCCCTGACTGTGGCACCCAGTCCTGTCTCAGGCCACTGCAGACCATGGAGGTTCTCCATCCTCACTGCTCACAGCTGCTGGCTCCATCACTGGCTGAATTGCTCCACACAGGGCCCAAAGTTGCCACCAGGGCTCACCCTTGGACCTCCAGATCTTGGACCTGAGTGAGGTGCAAGCCCAATCTCAAGCCACCATCAACCAAGGAGGCCCTAGGTGCACAACCCTCGGTGTGCTTGGCCCCTGCCCTGCTGAGGCACCCAACCTCATCTCAGGCTGCTATTGTCCAGGGCACCTGTGGTGCCTTCCCCGCAGAGCTCCAGGCTACATCTATGCCTGGGGCATCTCACTAGGCCCAAGGCTGCCACTGTCCATGCAGACCACCAGTGCCTGTGCCTCAGAGCTCTGGGCCCAGCATGGTCTGAAGCACCCAGCCCCACCTCAAGCCACCACCCTTGCAGAGGCCCCCAGCACCCACACCTGGGCATCTCAAAGTTCCAGGCTGCAACTGGATGCCTTGGAGATTGAGGTAACCAACCTGGCTGAAGCACCCAACCCCCAACCTTGCTTCAACCCACTGCTGTCCACAGAATCCCTAACACTTGCCCCTCAGAGCTACAGACTCTTCTCCTGACTGAAGTGCCCCACCAGGCCCCAAGTCACCAAAGCCCAGGGAGCCCCAAGACTCCGTCCCCATAGAGCTCCAGGCTCCCTTGTTGGCTACACCACCCTACCCCCAGCCACTCTGACCACTATGCTGACCAGCAATGCTCAGCAGTCTCACACTCCACCTCCCCTAACTCACCCCTAACCACAGTGGGACCAGAGAACAGCTGGAGCTGCAGACCAGAGACCTGCATTGCCCCATGAGCTCCACCCAGCTCTGTGCAACCTCCAACCTGGAACCAAAGAACAAAGAAAGAAAAGGAGGCCCAAGACGCATATGACACACCTACTTACAGAACCCAGCTGTCTCCCACTCCACCAACTCCCCAGCAGCAGTAGAGCCTGGGATCATCTGGAACCCTGTGACCAGGCAGAAACCTGCCGTGGCTCACCCACCCAGCTCTGCATAACCTCCAACATGGTAGCCAGTTCCTCATGGTTGTGTAAGGGAACAGTACATCTTAAGGAGGTTGGTCAGCTTGTGTGGCTGTATGATTACATGTCTTTGTTTGTTGCTGTCGCTGAGAATGCATGCTGTCTCCAGACCAACACTACAAGAAACTTTTAAGAATGTATTAAGCACAGGATAAAAGGGAAAAAGAGCAAAACTGTTCTTCCCAAGAGTGCAGGAAAAAAAGTTGAAAACACACATGAACCAACCCCCCCAAATGAAAACAACAAACAAGTAAAGCAACAACTCTATAAGAATATCATGACATAAATAAATGCTCACATTTTAATAATTAGCATGAATGTGAATGGACTAAATGCACCACTGAAAAGACACAGAGCAGAAAAATGGAAAAAGTATCGTGAGGTAACATATATTGTCTCCAAAAGACTCATCTCATCAGAAAGGACTCACAGACTCAAAGAGGATGAGAATCAAATTTTCAGGCAAATGAAACACAAAAGAAAGCTAGAGTTACAATCTTAATCTAGAATAAAATACCCTTTAAGCTATCAATAATCGTAAAGATGAAGAAGGTCACCATATAATGATAAAAGGCTCATCAATTCATCAACAAGAAATATCCATGCTAAACATATATGATCTAATATAGGAGCACCAATGTTTATACAGCAGCTTCTAGGCAAACTTAAAAAAGAGATTGACTCTAACTCTTTCATGGGATGTATTTTAATTCCACACTCACAACCCTAGACAGATCATCAAGAAAAAGCAGCAAAGACACCCAGAACCTCAAAGAGACTATTGAACAAATGCACTTAATTGATACTAACAGAACACTTTACCCAAACTCCACAGAATATACATTCTACTCACCACCACATGGAACGTACTCCAAGATTGACCACATCATTGGTCATAACACAAACATAAACAACATAAACAAATTTCTTAGCATTGAAATCTTGCCATTCACTTTTCCAGACCACAGTGGAATAAAAATAAATATCAACACCAACAAAATTTCCCCAAAGCCCACAAAGACATGGCTGCTAAACAGCATGATGCTGAACAACACCTGGTCAACACTGAAATTAAAGAAATTGAAAGATTCCTGGAAACAAAGGACAATGAGGAAACATCTCACCAAAACCTCTGGGATACCATGAAGTCAGGTTTAAGAGTAAAATTTGCATCTCTACAAGCACACATCAAGAAAAATGGAAACATCACAAGTAGAGAGCCTAACAAACCACCCAAGGGAGCTGGAGAGAGAACACCACCAAAACTCCAACTTTAGCAGAAGAATCCAAATCACAAAATTAAGAGCATAAATATGGGACATAGAAGAAAAAAATCATAGAAATCAACAACAAAAAAAGTTGGTTCTTTGAAAAAATTAACAGCATTGATGGGCCCATAGCCAAAATGACCAAGAAAAAGAGAGGAAAAAGTCCAAATAAACACAATCAGTAAAACAAAAGATCAAATCTCAAAATAATAAAAGACATAAATGACAAACTCACAGCCAGCATCATATTGAACTAGAAAAATATGCAAACATTCTCCTAAGAACCAGAGCAAGGAAAGGAATCCCCCTTTCACCAATACTGTTCAACATGTGACTGGATGTCCTTGAAGACAAATAGGACAATGGAAAGAAATAACAGGCATGCACAAAATTAGTATAATTTCTATATATCAATAATAATCAACATGGTAAAAAATCAAGAACTCAATCACATTAAAAATACTCACAGGGCCTCAATCATCATGCGACTGTGCAGGCAAAACATCTAAGAAGCCCTAACAACTAATATCAAGAAGGATCCCTCCTGTGTGAGCTGGGAGAATGCATACAC